TGGGGTTAATTAGGTGAGAGATAAGGATCCGGGATGATTCTTAGGTTTCTGTGTTGGGCAGACCATCTAGAGGAAGGATGGGGCCATCTGCTGAGATGAAGAGATAGGAGAAGAGCAGGCCTGGAGTAGCAGAACCAAGGACTCCATTTGTGATCCATCGCCTTGGAGATGTTTTTGGCCATCACAAACAGACATCAAGTAGGGAGCTGGATACAGGAGTCTGGAGCTCCGAGGAGAGGTCTGGGCTGGAAATATACATTTGTGAGTCACTGGCATATAGATGATATTTAAAGCCACGAGTATGGATGAGATCACCTAGGCAGCGAATATAGATCGCACGACAAGGCCCCAGTCTGAGCTGCTGGAGGAGTCCCGAGAATTGTTGAGTGCGTCTCCGGGACTCTGAGTCAGGGACAGGTGCCGCTGCTGGGAGGCAGACGGAATGGAAAGAGAGGGAACCATTCGATTTGGCAGATTATGAGCTCATTCATGGACTTGATCAAAGTAGCTTCAGTGGAGTGGTGGGGATAAAGCCAGATTAGAAGATGCTGAAGAACTGGCCGGGCATGCTGGCTTACAGCTGAAATCCCAGCACTTTGGGAGGCAGAGGCAGGCAGATCATCTGAGGTCAGGAGTTTGAGACCAGCTTGGCCAACATAGCAAAACCCTGTCTCTACTAAAAATACAAAAATTAGCCGGGCGTGGTGGCAGGTGCCTGTATAATCCCAGCTACTCAGGAGGCTGAAGTGGGAGAATCACTTGAACCCAGGAGGCGGAGGTGGCTGTGAGCATAGATCATGGCACTACATTCCAGCCTGGGTGACAGAGTGAGACTCCATGTCAAAAAACAACAACAACAAAAAAAAAAAAAAAGAAGAAGAAGAAGAAGAGGTAGAAGAGTCCATTAAAGGTGACGGAGTGGAGACACAGGCATAGATGACCCAGAGTTGCCTGTCTACACTAGAATGATGCACATCTGTGAGTTCCTTCTCTTGTCATTCCTGAAGGCAGGGACGGTGCCCTGATGATTTCTGAGCCATAAATGGAGTCCAGCCAGTGCATAGCGGGAGCTCAGCATGTTTATTTCATGGTTGGATAAATGAGTCAATGGATAATGCATTGTTTGGGTCAAAACAGCCTTTTCTGGGAAAGACAGTAGCCGTATGTTTTGAGGCATTTGCGGAAACAAAAAGTCAACCCCAAAGGCGATAGGCTCTGTGTCCCTTCTCTGAGCTAACCCAAGGAGCAGTTGCACATGGGCCTGGGGCACGAGCCCTGGCCCAGCATCAGGAACCGGGTTATTTATTTACTGAGACACAGTCTTGCCATGTCGCCCAGGCTGGAGTGCAGTGGTGTGATCTCGGCTCACTGCAACCTCCACCTACTGGGCTCAAGCAATTCTCCTGCCTCAGCCTCCTAACTAGCTGGGACTACAGGCGCGCATCACCACATCCAGCTTTTTTTTTTTTTTTTTTTTTTGAGACAGAGTCTTGCTCTGTCACCCAGGTTGGAGTGCAATGGTACCATCTTGGCTAACCACAATCTCCCCCTCCTGGGTTCAAGAGATTCTCCTACCTTAGCCTCCCAGGTGCCCGCCACCACACCGAGCTAATTTTTGGGGTTTTTTTTAAGTAGAGATGGGGTTTCACCATGTTGGCCAGGCTGGTCTCAAACTCCTGACCTCAGGTGATCCGCCCACCTCAGCCTCCCAGCGTGCTGGGATTACAGGCGTGAGAGCCACCTCGCCCAGCCTTTTTTTTTTTTTTCTGGAGACAGTTTACTCTGTTGCCCAGGCTGGAGTGCAGTGGCGTGATTTAGGCTCACTGCAACCTCTGCCTCCTGGATTCAAGAAGTTCCACTGTCTCAGCCTCTCTAGTAGCTGGGACTACGGATGCATGCCATCGCGCCCAGCTAATTTTTGTATTTCTAGTAGAGACGGGGTTTCACCATATTGGTCAGGCTGGTCTGGAACTCCTGACTTCAGGTGATCCACTTGCCTCAGCCTCCCAGGGTGCTGGGATTATAGGTGTGAGCCACCACACTCAACTTTTTTTTGGATTTTTAGTGGAAATGGGATTTTGTCCTGTTGGCCAGGTTGGTCTCAAACACCTGGCATCAAGTGATCCACCCATCTAGGCCTTCAAAAGTGCTGGGATTACAGGCATGAGCACCACGCCTGGCCCAAAAACCAGGTTACTGAGTTTTCTGCCATCTCTCATATGCCCTGTGGCTTTGGATAAATCCCTTTCTCTTTCTTAGAAGTGACCCACATGGTGGTTCACACTTGTAATCCCAGCACTTTGGGAGGCCAGGGTGGGAGGATCACTTATGCCCAGGAGTTTGAGACTAGCCTGGGCAACATAGCAAGTCTCCATCTCTACAAAGAAAAAAAAAGGTAGGCTGGGTTTGGTGACTCACACCTGTAATCCCTTTGTAAACACTTTGGGAGGCCGAGGCAAGCAGATCACTTGAGGTCAGGAGTTCAAGACCAGCCTGGCCAACATGGTGAAACCCTGTCTCTACTAAAAATACAAAAATTAGCTGGGCATGGTGGTGGGCGCCTGTAATCTCAGCTACTCGGGAGGCTGAGGCAGGAGAATCGATGGAACCCAGGAGGTAGAGGTTGCAGTGAGCCAAGATTGCACCACTGCACTCCAGCCTGGGTGACAAATCGAGACTCCATTTCAAACAAAACAAAACAAAAATAGACAGGTGTGGTGCGTGCCTGTGGTTCCAGCTACTCAGGACGCTTAGGTTAGAGGATCGCTTGAGCCCAGGACGTCGAGGTTGCACTCCAGCCTTGGGTGACAGAGGAATACCCTGTCTCAAACAAACAAAGGAAAAAGGAAGCCACCAGCACAGCACAGGGGAAGCAGCCATTTGAGCCAGTCCCATAGATTAGTTTCCCTCCTCTTCCCCGCACCCCCTTTTGTTTAATATCCCTGGGCTTTTTACTTGTTTAGGAACTTGAAGCGGTTGATGGCAAGTACCCCGAGTCCTAGCCCACCCGTTCTCTGCACACAGTTGCTGCGGAGGACGTCACACGCGCACAGACACACGCCTGGCTTTGGGGGAAGTCGTGGCACTGGGTCTGCAGAGTCCGCTGAGCATGCATCTTCGCAACTCCGTCGTGAAACTTAGGAGACCCCGGAGTGTCCTTGGGCTTGGGTGGGGTGTACCATGCCCGTCACAGACAGGCCCACCTGCCAATCAGAAGGGAACTGTCCTGACCTGAGATGGGGCCTCAGGAGTGGAAATGGCTGGTGGGGAGTGGCAGAGACAGGAGATGGGGTGGCCACGGGGGAGCCGCCGGCCACAGAAGGGGAAACGGAGGTGCAGGGAGCGGAGTCTGCCAAAGCCGCGTGGATGGCCAAGAGATATGCCTCGGTGAGGGCCGGGGGACTTCCTCTGACAGACCCCCGACGGCCATTCCCAGCCATCCGTTTTCGTGCAGCCGCAGATGCAACCTGTGGAAGAGGCGGGAGGAGGCCCGTGAGTCAGCCCCGCTGCGCCTTCCCGCGGGTGGGAGCCGGGACTCAGGCGCGGACGCTGCTGCCATCTAGTGGGAGATGCCTGCTACTCCTCTCGGTTCCTAACCCCAGGGTCCTTCCCGGCTGAGCACTGAGGCAGGTTTGGGGGAGGATGGCGGAGACCCCTGTGCCCCTGGATCTGGAGACACAACGCAAGGAGGAGCCTCAGGAAGGAATAGCGCCCCCAGGAAGTGTGCATTGCCCACACTGCTTTTCCCCACTGTGCCGTGATTCCCTCCGGTGTATAAGGGAGACAAGAGTACCTGCCTCTGGATTGGGCTCAGTGGCTCACGCCTGTAATCCCAACAGTTTGGGAGGCCGAGGCGGGTGGATCATCTGAGTTCAGGAGTCAGAGACTAACCTCACCAACATGACGAAACCCCGTCTGTACTAAAAATACAAAAATTAGCCAGAATGTGGTGAGCGCCAGTAATCCCACTATTCAGGAGGCTGAGGCAGGAAAATCGCTTGAACCCAGGAGGTGGAGGTTGCAGTGAGCCGAGATTATGCCACTGCACTCCAGCCTGGCCGACAGAGTGAAACTCCATCTCAAAAAAAAAAAAAATGGAGTACCTGGCTCCAAGGATCAGCCCAAGGGTAAATGAATCAATCTGTGCAAGGGACTTGGTCATAAATGGAGTCCAACCGGCATAGTAATAAGTGTTCAATAAATGCTATGTGCTGGGCATCATGGCCCATGCGTGTAATCTCAACATTCAGGGACACTAAAGCTGGAGGATCACCTATCAGGAGTTCAAAACCAACCTGGGCAACATAACAAGACCTTATCTCTACAAAAAATGCAAAAATTAGCCAGGCATGGTGGTGCATGCCTGTGGTCCCAGCTACTCAGGAGGCTGACGTGGGAGGATCACTTGAGCCCAGGAGTTAGAGGTTGCAGTATGCTGTGATCACACCACTGTACTCCAGCCTGGGTGACACAGTGAGACCCCGTCTCTGAAAATAAATAAGCCAGGCGTGGTGGCTCACTCCTATAATCCCACCACTTTGGGATGCCAATGCGGGCGGATCACCTGAGGTCAGGAGTTCGAGACCAGCCTGGACAACATAGTGAAACCTTGTTTCTACTAAAAATACAAAAATTAGCTAGGCGTGGTGGTGCGTCCTTGTAGTCCCAGCTGCTTGGGAGGCTGAGGCAGGAGAATCGCTTGAACCAAGGGGGCAGACACTGTAGTGAGCTGAGATCATGCCACTGCACTCCAGCCTGGGTGACAGATGGAGACCCTGTCTCCAAAAAAAAAAAAAAAGAAAGAAAGAAAGAAAGAAAATAAATAAAACAAATATTACTTGTGGCTGATCCAAGCAAGGGGTCATTGGAGGCGTGTGGCCCTGTGCTGCCACCTCAAACTGTGCCTGCTGTCCAAATGAAGCTTCCCTTAGTTCTGGCTTTCAGCAAGATGGCCCTGCCACCATCCCTCCTCTTTGTAAATGCTGGGGCTGACACCGTTATGGTTTTATCATCAGTGACATTTCAGAGGATGAAGGCCTCTCCTGTCCTCTTCTGATGAGGGTGAGGGATGAGGGGGGGCTCCCAGCTCCTAGCACTTTCTCCCCTCACCCCGAAGTGCCATCAGAACAGCTCTGGGCTGTGACATCACAGAGCCCCCACCTCATGATAGGAGTCATGAGGCTGAGACCACAGCTGCTGGTGTGGGCGTGGCTGGCTGCGCTAGGGGCCATCGAAACTGGTGAGAAGGCGTCTTGGGAGCAGCGGGAAGGCAGGCAGCTCTGGGACATAAAGAGTGATGCCCGCCTAGGGACTGAGAACCCAACCCTCTCCACTCTTCTCTCCCATCCTGCCGGTCCCACCCATCCCCCAACAACCAAGGGCCTTGTCATGGCGCCCTCAGCTGACTCTGAGGGAAATCAAGGCCCTCCACATCCACAATAAGGCTGGGTGGTCTTACAGGGTCCCAAGTCAGCCCCTGCCTTGAGAATTAAAGGCAGGGGTCTGCTTGGCCGTTGTCACAGACTTTGCTTGGGTCCTAGCACCCAGACCCAAGCGTGCCAGGGCATCGGCCCTAAGGACAAAGTCTCCAAGCTTCTTGGACAGACCTGACTTCTTTGATTATCCAGACTCGGACAAAGCCAGGCTCCTGGCTGTGGCCCAGTTTATTGGAGAGAAACCTGTCGTGTTCATTAACTCAGGTATGAACCAGCTTGAGAAGGAGCCTCCCTCCCTGCTGGGTCCTGGAGGAGAGCAGCCCTGGACCCATCCATTGGGCCATCAGAAGGGAGTTAAGGGTCCTGCTTGTCTAGCAGGTTCCAGCCCTGGACTCTTCCATCACATCCTGGTGGGCTTCCTGGTGGTGGTGTTCTTCTTCCTCCTTTTCCAGTTCTGCACCCACATGTAAGGCCTGCCCCCTTCCTCCGACCCTACCCACCTCCACCTTCCTTGGGAGCGTCTGAAGACCCCAGTCCTAGCGGGGCAGTGTGTGACCTCCCCACTCTGATCTCCATGCCCCACAGAAACTTCCAGAAAGGGGCCTAAGGAGCCAGACAAAGGCCCCGGACTCAACCTGAGCGCCCAAACGCATCTCCTCTCCTGTCGATGAATAAAAGTCCCAGCTTTCCTCCTCCCTAACTGCCCAACAGGCAGCAAGGGGGGTCCTACCCCCTCTGTGTTTCCCATAGCCCAAGCCCCTCACCTCCTCCCTTCCCGGCCCCAAAGAACTTAGTGACGAGGGCCTTGGTGGCGTTCACGTTCACGCAGATCGTCTTTTATTAGCGGTCTGTAAAGCACCTCCCAGGGTCCCCCGACCCCAGATTGGAGGAAGCCTTGAGAGGTCAGTAGCACCAGGGACATGCCAGGGCTCGAGGGCACGATGTGCAGCTGATGGTGAGGGACGGGGTGCCCCTCGCCTGCCCCCGGGGTTGTCAGCACTGGGAAGGCTTGCAGGTAGCAGCCACCTTCCAACCCCAACCCAACAGACTAGTTCAAATTTGGGTAAATAAATAAAATAAATAAGATTCCTCAAGCTGACCTAACTGGAGAGGAGCCACGGGTCACTTGGGAGACCCGAGGGCCAGTGGGGGTTAGTTGGGGCGTCCTCTCCTCCCAGGTGATGGGGAGCCTGGGTGGGGGGTGGCAGCGGAGGGGCTGGGATGGCCTTGGCAGCAGTGCCTTCCGACATCCTGACTCCTGGTTCCCCTTGAAACCCTGTCGATCTCCCCCCCAACAAGCCCTCCCACCCTCAGTGGGTGGGAGGTGGTGCCCCCGCCCCTCCTCCAGCGCAGGGGTGTGCAGGAAGTGGGCACGGTGGGGAGAAGAGGTCCCCTGTCTCCTGCCCTCAGCCCCTGAGAGATGGCGCCTCTTCCCTTTCGGGCTCTTCATCAGTCCTGGGGCTCTCCGGACAAGAGGGCCCTGGCTCCCACACCCTGCCAGCAGCCCCAGAGCCCTAGAGCCCTGTCCCCGTGGGGCTGAGGGTGGGGAGGGGGAGGGTCCTCAGTCCTGGGTCTGGCAGGCCGGGGGCGGCCGGGAGCGGGGCCAGAAGAGCCGGCAGGCCCCGCGGCAGATGAGGAAGAACCAGTAGAGCTGAGGTGCCAGGAGCAGCGCGGCGCCCAGGTTGACATGGGCTGGGATGGCCAGGGGCACTGCCAGCAGGGGCAAGCCGGCATGGCGCCCGTAGGCCCAGTACAGGTAGGGGAAGAGCAGCACCCGGCAGCACAGGAAGCTGAGCAGCATCAGGGCCCCGTTGACCTTGTGCAGCAGCGTGTGCTGCTGCTTGTACTGCAGGGACACAGACGTGGTGGCAGCGGCAGCAGAAGGGCTCGCCCCTTCCCCGCCCGCTTCCCAACTCCCCACTACCCCAGCAGGCAGCTCCTCCCAGACCAGACACTTTGCCAGGACACAAGCACCAGCTCAAAGGGCATGGAAAGGATGACAGAGGGGCCAGAGCCCTCGGCAGCAGCCCTGGAGGTCCCTCCCCTTCTTGGGCTCCCACACCCTCCCCTGCCCACTCACCTGGATGAGGATCTTGCCAAGGCAGACGAAGGGCGTGCTGACCTCTGCCATCAACATGCAGCCCAGAAAGAAGTCTCCCTTCCCCTGTCGCCACACCTGAGCAGAGAAGCTGGAAGGTGAGGGGCTGGGGCTCTCCCTGGGTTCTTGGGCAGCCCCTGCCCTTCCTCTCTCCCCTCTGTCGCTTTTGGAGATGCTTGACTGTGAACATCAGAACACCTGGGTGCAAAGCTTGGCATGATGACTCACGCCTGTAATCCCAGCATTTTGGGAGGCTGCGGCGGGCGGATCATGAGGTCAGGAGTTTGAGGCCAGCCTGGCCAACATGGTGAGACCCCGTCTCCACTAAAAATACAAAAACATTACCCAGGCGTGGTGGTGGGCACCTGTAATCCCAGCTACTCGGGAGGCTGAGGCGGGAGAATTGCTCGAAATTGGAAGGCAGAGGTTGCAGTAAGCTGAGATCGCACCACTGCACTCCAGCTTGAGCAACAGGGTGAGACTCCGTCTTGGGGTGGGGGGGAAGAAAGAACACCTGGGTGCAGGAGCAGGTCATGACTTGGCTGCCTCCCTCCCATAGTCCTGCAGAAAGACTGTGTTCCCTACATCATGTGTGAGGAAACTGAGGCTCAGAGACATGCAACCACCCATCCAAAGCGCCACAGCTGGGCATCGTCCAGCCCGGGGCCAGGCTGCCCCCACACTCTGCTGCCTCTTGCAACTGGGCTGGGCTGTGAACCCTACTGGTCCACAGCTTTCCCTGGGAACACGCTGGGTCTGCTTGTCTGCTGGTACACAAACCCAGGGCTTCCCAGGCTCCTGCTGGCACCCGCATCACACCCGCCCAGCGCTCCGGAACTCACCACCGACAGCGGGAAGCACACCAGCACCATGGCGGCGTGGTGGAGCACCATGAGGAACTCCTTGTGCAGGTAGCCACGCGCGATGGCCCATGTGCTGCCCGGAGCTCTGGCCGCACCGTCGTCCCCTCCATGCCCTTTCACCTGGTGCTTGTGCCAGTGACAGAGGAACATGGCGTAGATGTCATAGATGAAGTAGGGCACAGCAAACTGCGTGTAGGCAGAGGACAGCCAGTGTCTGTTGGGCAGAGGAGGTGGGGAGCAAGGAGGAAAGGGGTGCCAGTGAGCGGGGGTGGACCTCAGGGGTCAGCTGGGCAGCCCTGGGCATGAGCGGAGTCTCGGGTACAGTGAGGGATCCGGAGGGTCACACAGTGATGCAGGTCAGGCAGTCACGCAGCTAGTAAGAGATGGTGCTGGGATTCAAACCTGTGGCCTCAGAGCCCACCCATGTTCCTCTCTCTCTGCTGTACAGTGAGGGGAAAAGAAGAGACCAGAAGATGCCCACAGACAAAAGGGCACAGATAGAGTGCCAAAATAAGCCCAGGCCAGGCAGGTGGGACCTTGCCATGGTTATTTGTCCTAACCTTACCCTGAGGTGAGGATCAGCAACAGCTGAAGGGGCGAGAGTGCTAGAGAGAGAGGTCTCAGGAGTGGATACCTGTTCCTGCCTCCCAGGGCAGGCGCTCTTCCAAACCTTCGCATGCATGCACTTATTTACTCCTCCCAAAACCCTGTAAAAGGTAGGTGTGGCCATCATCCCCACTATACAGATGAGGAATTGAGTCACAGAGGGGCTAGGTAACCTGACCAAGGAGGGGACACGGGAAGTCTGGCTCCACAGCCCTCACCCTCAGCCCCACTGTCCCCAGAAGATCTCAGAGGCATCAGAGGCCCTGCTTGCTGGCAAGTGAAAGGTCTTCTCAGTGCTGTTCGCCCTGCCCCAAAGTGACCCAATCTCTTGTCTGTTTTGTGTCGTTTTTCAGGGACAGCCAAGCGTTAAGGGGAAAATGCAGAGCAAAAGGAGCCAAGGACAGAGAAAGTTCCACATACTTGGAGAGTAAACAAAAATGAGAAATGGAGAATATGAAAGACAGCATTTTTCTTCTGGAGTCAGCACATTGGCAGTTTCTCTTAAATCCTGTAGTCCTGAGACTGGTCTGGGGTGGGGGCAGGAGGTCAGAGAGGCAGGCCCTGGGGAGCCTGTCCCATGAGGGGGAGGAGGGATGAAAGCAGAGTCAGCCAGAGGCCACCACCAAACATGAGGTGCATGGAGTGAGCCGTAGAGAAGCTGGGGCTGAGGCCTCTGAGGCTGGGGAGCCTGGGGCAGCCAGCTTGTGAAGGGAGCCAGCCCACTCTCCAGCAGGGACAGTACCAGGGAAAAGAGAACCGGAGACCGTGGTGCAGTGGTGCGGAGCTGAGGCCAGGAGCGATGAGAGGGGAGGGATAGCTTTGGAGAACATGAGGTGGGAACACAGGGAGAGAGGGTCCAAGTGGCCTGGAGGAGTCAGGGCAGGAAGCAGCCCAGCAAGCTGGCCCAGGGGATGAGATGGGAGATGGGAGCACTGGGCTGGGGCAGGAGACCAGGAGGGGCCACCAGGCCCTGGGCTGCAATGTGAGGTGTTAAATCCCATCCCCACCCTGTCAGCAATTAGGTGCTCAGAAGTCAGAACAGCTGCTGCCCTGGATTAACCTGGATCCCCCCCCACCTACCTGAGGATTAAAGTGGGGAGGAAGGACAGGAACAGACACAGGGGGGCCTGGGGAGCAGCGGGGGTGCAGAAGCCAAAAGGTGACCTCTGTGTGTGAAGGCTGGGGAGGAAGCACCGGATCCCAGGCTTAGCTTGGAGCAGGGATGGGAAGGGGCGGGCAGAGGCCTAGAGGCAGCCAAGTCCCTGGGCAGGGTCTGAAGAAAAAGTTAAACCAAGAAGTATCCTCCAAGGCGGCCACCTAACTCAATTACTCTCACTGAAGCCCTTCCAGGAAGGGCCAGCGCCTTACCACAGAGGAGGCGACTAATCTTCAGGAAAAGAAGAGGCAAACAGAAACACCCCCCACCGGGGGCATCTGGAGAACGTCCCCTGGGGCTCAGTGGCTGCCAGGGAAGGGAAGCAGGGCTGAAAGCTATGAGGAGGGCGTTGTGGATGCCTCCCAGACAACTTGCAACGGGCCGACTGTGGGTCACCTGGAGTGTCCGTCAGCACCACGGACAGGGCACCTCTCCTCCCCATCCTCCGCCTCCTTGCCTGCACACCTCTGAGCCTTTTTGGCAAGCACCAGACACTGCAGCAGCTGCCCAGCCACAGTTTGGCCTCCTCGCCCTCATCTCCTCCCCCACTGCCTGGCGCGTGTGGCCTTGTGCGTGTCATCTCTCCCATCTCCTCTCCCTCACGTGTGGAGCAGGTGCCGAATGCCTGGATTCTGGGAGGGGCTACAGGGTGAGGGTGAGCCTGGCATGAGGAGGGGGCGCCCCACCTGGGTGCTGGCTGGAAATGGGGTCTGCCTCCTGGGGCAGAAGGCTGGAAGGAGGTGGGGAACCCGCCACACCACAGGAGACCTGGAAGCTACTAGGAAGTGCTTTGAGGATCCTGTCTGATCCCCACTCCTTCCCCACTTGGCGCTGCCCTTTAAGGACAGGACGGGATAAATTCATCCCCAGGTGCTGAGTTGCAGCTATTGCAGTCAACTTGCTCCGGCCCAAGTTCAGAGCTTAGGGACCCCGGACAGAGTTCCCTCCAAGATGTGGGGTCTTCCGGGGTCACTCGTACACACCAACCACTGGCACCTGGGCAGAGGGGTCTCGAGGCACTTACTGGTCATCGATGATGTGCTTGCAGGAGGTGGAGACGATGTAGCCGGCGGTGGAAGCCATGATGGCCTGGACAGAGGACACCAGCCTGGGGGAGAGAGGGGCACGCTAGAAGCACCGAAGGGAAGAGGAGTGTGCCTCTATTTCTCCTCGTTGCGAGTCTAGAGACTGCGCTTTGAGCTCAGCCACTGCTTGGGCCAGTCCTTGCCCGCCTTCTCCAAGGCTGGGCTAGCCTGAGATGTGCCCCACCACCGCCACCTCACAGCCCTCTGGCCTGCTTGGCTGCTGTTCCTCAGTCCGCCCCCCTCCTCGCCACCTTCTCCCTTCCCCTTCCCTGTGTGTGGAAGCCGAGTCTCCCTCTTCTCCAGTCGGCAGGGAGGCTGTCCTGAGGTGAGACTCTGCCAAGAGTGAGCTGCTGGTTGGGCCTCTCCCCAGAGGGGACTCTGGGCCAGTTCCTGCCCTGCTCAGCTGCCCCGTCATGACTCGCGCCTCACTCTGGCCCCTTCGTGACCCCGAGCTCCCCAGTCAATGTCCCACCATCTCCTTGACTGCCACCAGCCTCCCCTCCACACTCCAGCCCTGTTTAGGGCTGTTTAGGGCTACCATCCATGCCTCCATCCCTGGCCCCCAAACACTCGCCCTGAATGACACCTAGCTGTCTGGCCCAGGCCTCGGTCCCCAATGTCTTATAGGAATGTCTTCCCTACCTGCTGGCCCTGTTTTGGAGGGTGGGAGGGTCTATGGGGAAGGAGAGAGAGGCAGGCTGAACACTAGTAGACTAGATGGCCCGGCTGGACGAGGTCTCCCAGGACAGCAAGCAAGGCAGGCAGTGAGGAGGGAGGAAGCTTGGGGGTAAAGCCCCAGATCCCCGCAGGAGCTCCCAGTCCCCACCCACTGAGGGGCCAGGGAAGTGCTGGGTCCCTTCCATCCCCTGAGAAGCCCAGGAAGCCGAGAGGGGCTGAGGTGAAGGGAAGCCGTTTACCTGGCTGAGACAATGACCGCGTCGGCCTCCTCCCAGCGCAGCTGGGGCAGCCTCTGGAGCGTGCTCTTGGAGAGGAGGAAGAGTCCGGGGAACACCACCCCCCCGGCCACCATCGGGGTCAGCATGGTGGATCAGGACTTGGGCAGGGAGGCAGGTGGGCCGTGAAGGGGCAGGAAGGCCAAGCGGAAGGAGTTAGGGGTGGAGAAGGGACGCCAAGCCCAGGAAGGACGGAGAAAACAACGGGTAGGGGCACAAAGGGGACAGGGCGGGGACGGGATGGGGCCAGGGCACCAGAGCCGAGAAGGGAGTCCGATGACACTGGGGAGTCCGGAAGGGGCCGGCTGAACAGAGACGGGGGGAAGGGAGGATGGGAGAAGGGGAGCAGGAGCAGGCCAGTGAGGGATGGGGAGAGGCGAGGAGGGGACAGCTTGCTGAGGGACAGAGGAAGAGGGGACAGGAGGAGGAGGGTGCAGATGGGGGAGGGGAGGGAACCACCAGGCAGGTGGGGAGGGGAGGCTTACGTGAGAGGCTGGGAGGGCCCGAGGAGGCGGGGAGGGGGTGGGGGTGGGTCCGGGTGCCAGCCCCGAAGGAAGGAGGTGGGCGGGAGGGAGCGGAGGAGCCGCCGGGCTAGCGGTCAGCGGTCACCGCCACTGTCCCGGCTTCACTGCCTCCTCTTGCTGCCGCCCTGGCCCCGGTCCCCGCCGCCCAGCATCGACACATGGCACCATAGAGACTTCGTGCCCAGCCCCCTGCCCCCTCGGTGGGGAGGGGGGGGGGGAGGGGAAGTGACCAGCTTGGGGAGGGCGGGGGAGGGGCGGGGAAATGGCACCGACCAGACACCAAGAAATCGGACCTGCAGCAGCGTCTCCCCATGCAGCTCTGAGCCACAGCCGCGCGGCTGCGACAGAGATGGGGGGAGCAGAGAAAGAGGGAGGGGGAGGCCCTTAAAGGGACAGCAGCTGCAGTGGCACAGGGGGCTGCTGGGGACAGGGCCCTGGGGAGGGCCAGCTCTTCTCTTGGGATTAAAGGGGGCCTGAGGCTCCTTGGCCAGCTGGGAGGGGGCCCTGAGCCCCCACCGGGGCCTGACCCTGTTTCCCATCAGCACTTTGCAAATGCCTGGCATCTCCCCCCTCGCCAAGGCATCCCTCTGTGGCCTGCCCCGGGTCCGGCTTCGGGTGCCCACTCCAGCGGAAGAGAGGGTTCCCCAGGAGAGGGAGCAGGAGCAAGTGGTGCTTTCTCAGAAGGCTGAAGAAGGGAATGGGAGCAAAAGCATCTCAACGTAGCATCCTCAGACCCAGAGGCCCTTCACTGGCCGGCAGGAGAGGAAGCTGGCACTGGCCAGAGGGGACACCTGACTGCTGCCAGGCTGCCTGGGTCCTGTCTGCCGCAGAAGCTCCCAGGGCGCTGCGCCTGTCCTTCCCACAGGGCCAGCAGCGGCCCTGAGGCTCCTCTCATTGCAGGCATCGGAGCGGCAGTGAGAATGGAAGAAGTGCTGGGGAATGGGGGAGGCTGCCTCTCAGGAAGTTCCAGGGAGCCCCAGGACTCCTGGCCCTGTTCTTCAAGCTGCCCGCCCCTCCTGGCCTCCCCTAAATTTCCAGCCCTCTAACGCCCCTTCCTCTGCAACGTCCACAGGGAGCCTAGTTTCAGAGTGGGAAAGGATCCCAGCGTGGGCTGGTGCAAGCCCCTCACTGCCCCATAAAGAAAATGAGGCCTGGGGACCGGGTCAGGGTCCTGCTGTGGGGCCCGAGCCAGAGGCGCTGCCGCCTTGGACTTCTGCCCTCCTGTCCTGATCCCAACTGTCCTGTGAACTTCAGCATGGCAAAGGCCTGCTCTGCAAACTCCTTGGGCCTCCAAGCTCAATTATCAACTCTGTGCTTTACCTTTCTCTGCCCAGAGCCCACTCCTCGCCTTCCCCAAGAAAGGCCTGGGACTGGGATTTGCTGTTTTGTGCTGTCCTCTAGCGGCAGTCTATAGGAAAGCCCCAGGAAGTCTCACCTTAAGCCGATTTAGAGCGGGTTTAGAGACAATAGTGGACCTGGCTCCTGACCTCAGCGCTTCACCGGAGGGGGAAAGGGTATCCAGCTCCCTGAGTTTTCACTACATGCTAGGGACAGTACCAGGTGCTTTCTACTGATTCTTAATCTTCCTACATGGTGGTATCCCTGTTTTATAGAAGAAACAGGTTTAGAAATTTTGTGGGGTTTTTTTTTTTTTTTTTTGGTCAGGGTCTCATTCTGTCCCCCAGGCTGCAGTGCAGTGGCATGATCATGGCCCACTGCAACCTCAACCTTCCCGGGCTCAAGTGATCCTCCTACCTCAGCCTCCCGAGTAGCTGGGACTACAGGTGCACACCACCATGCCCAGCTAATTTTTGTATTTTTCGTAGAGATGGGGTTTCACCAAGTTGCCCAGGCTGGTCTCAAACTCCTGGGCTCAAGCGATCCACCTGCCTCCACCTCCCAACATGCTGAGATTACAGGTGGGAGTCACCACCCCTGGATGAAAGTTGGATTTCAAACCCATGAACCCCAAAGCCACACATGATCAAAACTGCAAAAAAGACTGAGGTCGGGGAGGCTGGTGATGGACGATCACTGTCACTACTCGATTGAGGACTACAAGGCTGGTCACGGAACTGTGGTTTCACTTTGGATGAGTAGAGATGGGTTTTTTTGTTTGTTTGTTTGCCAGGGAATCCAAGTAGACACCCTAGTAAAATCTGTGTTCTGTGTACTCCCTCCCTTTCCAATGGCTTGGGGACAATGCACATTTGTGGTAAGCTTTGCCACACACAGGCTATAGATCTGCAGCCCAAGGGCCCAGCCCAGCCCACAGACATGTTTTGTTTGGCCAGTATGTAGCTGTCAGTATAGCAGTTCTTAAATAAATTCTAAGTTACTTATTAGTGTTTGAGAATTGGGAGAGCCTGGGCTTAGTGACTCAGGCTTGTAATCTCAGCACTTTGGGAGGCCGAGGTGGGCAGATCACCTGAGGTCAGGAGTTCGAGACCGGCCTGGCCAACATGGAGAAACCCCAACTCTACTAAAAGAAAAAATACAAAATTAGCTGGGCGTGGTGGCACATGCCTGTAATCCCAGCTACTCGGGAGGCTGAGGCAAGAGAATCACTTGAACCCAGGAGGCAAAGGTTTCAGTGAGCCGAGATTGTGCCATTGCACTCCAGCCTGGACAACAAGAGCAAAAAAAAACTGTCTCAAAAAAATAAAAATAAAAAAAGAATTGGAAGAGAACCAGCCACAATGACATGCACCTGCAGCCTCAGCTACTCAGGAGGCTAAGGAAGGAGGATCACTTGAGACCAGGAGTTTGAGATCAGCCTGGGCAACATGGAGAAACCCCGTCTCTACCAAAAATCCAAAAATTAGCCGGGCATGGTGGTGCACACCTGTAGTCGCAGCAACTCGGGAGGCTGAAGAGGGAGAATCACTTGTCACGTTGTCAAGCCTGCAGTGAGCCATGATCATGTCACTGCACTTCAGCCTGAATGACAGAGTGAGACCCTGTCTAAAAAAAAAAAGAAGCAGAAGAAGACAGGCACAGTGGCTCATGCCTGTAATCCCATCACTTCGGAGGCTGAGAAGGGAAGATCATGTGAGCTCGGGAGTTCGAGACCAGCTTGGGCAACATAGTGAGACCCCATCTCAAAAAAAAAAAAAAATTAGCCAGGTGTGGTGGTTCCTACCTGCAGTCCCAGCTATGGCAGGAGGATTGCTTGAGCCCAGGAGTTCAAGGCTGCAGTGAGTTCATGATCCTGCTACTGCACTCCAGCCTAAGCAACAGAGCAAGACCCTATCTCAACAACAATGACAAAGAATCAACTCCAAAAACATTGGCCCATGTTCTAACCGTATAACATTATCAGTAGGCTGGCACGGAGCCACGCTAGCCCTCAGCTGAGAAGGTGAGTCCTCCAGCCCACGCCATCCCGGCAGAGCCCACATCCCTCATATTATCTGCAGGAGCTTGCAACCCCTGCTCTACAGACGCTGATTCACATGATCTTCACACAACATCGCCAGGAAGAAAGGGAAGAGGGTGTTATTATTGAGCTCATTAATCAGTGAGGGAGTGAAATTAAATGACTCACAAAAGACTCCACTGTTGTTCTTTTTTTTTTTTTTTTTTTTTTTGACAGCGTCTCACTCTGTCATCTAGGTTGGAGTGCAGTAGCACAATCTCAACTCACTGCAACCTCCACCTGCCAAGTTCAAGTGATTCTCCTGTCTCAGCCTCTGGAGTAGCTGGGATTACAGGTGCCCGCCACCACACCTAGCTAATTTTTGTATTTTTAGTAGAGATGGGGTTTCATCATGTTGGTCAGGCTGGTCTCAAACTCCTGACCTCAGGTGACCGGCCCACCTTAGCCTCCCAAAGTGCTGGGGTTACAGGCGTGAGCCACCACGCCCGCCTGCTGGTGTCTTTTGACTTCAAATCCCAGCTCCACCCCACACTGCTTCTGCTTTCACCACGAACTCATCCTGAAAGTGAGAGATCAGTTCCACCAGCCGTGGCCCCAGGAAGGATACCCTCACCCTGGTCCTCTTACTTGGATGCCACCAGGACAGCCTCTTGTCTCTCCATCTGCAGGCCAGTGTGGTTCTGCAAGCCCCAGCGCAGGACAGTGAAGCACAACGGGAAGAAGACGCAACCCACCGCGAACAGCAGGGCCATGCCTGCCTGCAACCAAGAAGGCAAGAGAAGAGGGCCATGAGATGCCTCAGCACAACACCCTCAGACCGCCCTAGCCTTCGTCATCCCCAGTGAGGCAATGGCCCAAGATACCCGTCCATCTGTGGCCATTGAAAGCCACCAGGGAAACCTCTTGTCTAAGCTCTTTTGCATCTTTTTTACTCTTTTAATATTCCCCATCTGGGGCAAGTCAACATCCTAATTTCTTGTTTTACACCCAATTTAGACTACTTCTTATCTTTTTTTTTTTTGGAAACGAAGTCTTGCTTTTGTCGTCCAGGCTGGAATGCAGTGACTCAATCTCAGCTCACTGCAACCTCCACCTCCCAGGTTCAAGTGATTCTCCTGCCTCAGTCTCCCGAGGAGTTGGGATTACAGGGTCCTGCCACAATGCCTGGCTAATATTTGTATTTTTAGTAGAGACAGGACTTTACCGTGTTGGCCAGGCTAGTCTCGGACTCCTGACCTCAGGTGATTCCCCCGCCTCAGCCTCCCAAAGTGCTGGGATTACAGGTGTGAGCTGCTGCACCCGGCCCCTCCTACTCTTAAACTCCACCCTATTCCATCTTCTGCATGCCCCGACTGCCGCCCATCCTATGTGACCTCTCCCTTCTCCCCAGGCCTCACCACTGAGGGACAGGTTGGAAGACAGAAAAAGGGAGGTTGATGGTTTCTCCTCAGCACCCAAAACTTGGTAAAAGGGAGGGGGTTGTCAAGATACTTGGAACTTTAAAATGACATTTCTTGAAAAAACAAAATAAAGCCAAAGCGATTGTTGTTCCATTAAAAAAAAGAAGAAGAAAGAAAGAAAGAGCAGGCGCAAGCCTGAAACTACATATATTTACATAGATATCATTTTTGTTTAGAAAGACCTCCCCTCCCATCCATTCTGAGGAGCAGAGGCATGGGGCAGGCACAGGCAGGATGAAGGGAATCAGGCCCTGCCATCCTGCCTTCCTGAAGTGACTTCCAAGGGACCTTCTTGGGATAAAAGGAAGGTGTCAAACTGCAAAGGCACGAGGCTGCTCTGCAGAGGCAGTTGGGGAGGGCAGGAGTATGCTCTCCCATTGGTGGACTGCCTGGAAGATGCCAGCCTCCCATTGGCCAGCCAGTTGATACATGTGCCCTATCATTTGCTTCCTATGGGGGCTGGAGGGCGGTTCCAGCAAGCC